AATCATATCTTTCTTGCACAGGAAATTGACAGAGCAGAATGATTTTTTTTAGCCGAACGATTTTTGTGCCAGGTGGTATTCTTGACATCTAGTTACAGATATGCCCAAGGTTTTCTAATGATATAGAATCAAAACTTGAATTTTATTTTAAAAAATACAGGTACAGAGGCATGTGTTAAGGTGTGTGCCGTTATTGAGAAGACAAGCCTGGTCAAGGATATTCGCAAGATGTCATGATTTTAATGTAGAAATTTTGAATATTTGATTTTTCCCTCTCTTATTAGGTTTTGTACATGTTTTTAGAATTCATGTGATGTGATTCTGACTTCATCCAGTGACATGTCATGTGACATTAAAGGGGCACTCTTTAAAGTGCTATATCTCGTAAAGTTTATGTCCAATTAGGTTGAAACTTTGTGTATAGCTCGAAGGGGAAGGGTTTTAGGCCCAGATTGACCTCATGATTCTCATGTCATCGGGTGACAAGTCACGTGACATTAAGGGGGTACTCTTGCAAGCATTATATCTTGTAAAGCACACATCCCATTGGGTTGAAAAGTAGAAAGGGAAGGGTTCCAGATGGAAATTGATTTCTTCTGTTGGTGGTATCATTATATGAGAAGTCATGTGACATGCATCAATATGACATGGATTTAAAACATTCCACAATGTGTTTTCTGTATCATCTATGTGCACTGATAAATGAAACCAGGGCCAAAGCAGCTGCGTTTGTCTACAAACATCCTCGTTTAAAACTACAATTCTTGTAACTGGTATCACATCCACTTGTAATGACGTCTTCAGTCTAAGAAGTCGAATATGTCATCTTTAAGTAAATATTATAAGTTTCAAGTAATTCTGGGAAACTCCACAAAGTACAAGGCAAACCCTAAACTGTCAGAATGACATAACATGACAAGTAATGTTAGATTATCGTCTGAGGTGAACATCTGCATCGGTTGAAATTGATAGTAAATTACCAAGTAACTCTTTCAGGGTATGTGACGTTCAGAATAGTAAATTGTTAATTTTTACTCTCTTATAGTTTCTTGATGCCAGGTTTATTCATCACAATTGCAAATACTTATTTTGTTGGTGAAACAGTCCCAAGACAGCTCTGTGTTTGTACTTCTTTACAAACACTTCTATCTAGTTCAGTTTTCTTCAGGGGCACTACCGGTACTTCAAAATACACTGATTTGACCTGGTAAATGTATTGAGTATTGGGTCCACCACAAGCAGGAGATGACATTTGCATTGAATGGAGTCGTCCGCCAGCAATTCCACCACCAGTCGTGTCCAGTCTTGTTCAATTCTTAAACAAGCCCCTTGGGAATTTATTGTATGTTGACTTTTTTTGACTCTCTGAACTAAAACAGTATTTATGAATGGAAATAAATATGTGCTTGGTTGGTCTAAAACTAACGTCTATAGCTGGCTCAGGAGAATGAATGCTGATAATGCTCTCACCTGTGGCACAGGCATTAGCATCCGTTCTCCCAGCCAGGTTTAAGCACGTTTCAGACCGGCCAAGCACATATTAATTCCCTTATTAATAGTATTTCAGCCAGGCCTGCAGCCTTGTAAACAGAGCCAAGATCGTGTCGCGTTATGTAACTTTATTTTGTTCACGAACCTGGCTCAGGGCACTGCTGACCTCTTTTCAATAGGGGCCAGATTAGCATGCAGCTGTGCTGTGTGGCTCATCGCTGCAGTGGTGGAGCGCTTCTGTCCCCGCTGCTAATCCGCTCTCTCTCAATGCCCCAAACCCTGGTATAGGGTTTCAAAAGAAGGCTGGATTATCACCACTTTTGAGAGTGAAAAATGTCGGTAATGCCCAGCAGCCTGGTCTTTTGTTCGGAGTACGGTCTTTTGTTACTGGGCCCTGTTTCCTTTGTCTGAGTTTGGAGACCCCGGCCACGCATATAAACCATACGTCTCTGATTCCGTAGTCCCAGGCAGGAAGTGGTTAATGATTGTTTGGAGGTTTGCTCCATATGAAGTCAAGCAGATTGTTTGAAAAATACCTATATAACACATAATTTTAAGAAAAACTTGCACAAAACCTATGCAGGAAAACTGCACCTGTAAAGTCATTTCATGTAATTTGCTTTTATATTGACCGACCGAACGACCGACCAACCAACCAATCAACCAACCAACCGACCAACCAATCAAATATTATTTGATATTTGGACTCTCGGGTATATGTGTAATTGAATGAAGATGAAAACAAAAATGATATCTCTGTCATTCTTGTAGTAATCCTCAGCCAAAGTTCATGACTACTCTCATTAAGATTGGTAATATTGCAACTTTAATTTCATGTCACGTGACTTCTGATGACCTCACCGTGATGATTTTATTTTGATAGCCCCATGGGTTGATGGACTATATATGCTCCCAATACAAAGTTGCTCAGATGTATGCGTGCACCAGTCTTTGACTTGAGAAAACATGCACAAAACCTACCGAGAAAAACTGCACCTTCAAAGTCATGTCAAAGGATTTGCTTGACCTTGAAAAGCATTTATGAAATATTATTTGATATTTGGACTCTTGGGTATATTTGTAATCGAACGGAGACAAAAAAAAAATACAATTTGTCTTTTGTTCTTATAGTAATTCCTGGCTGAAGTTGAGAGCCTGTCTCCTAATGATCGATAATATTGCGAAGTAGAAAGACGTGTACAAAACCTATGGAGAAAATTGCAACTTTAGTCTCGTGTCATGTGATCCCCTGATGATGTCACTGGGACGATTGTATTTTAACAGCTACATGGGTTCATGGACTACATTTGCTCCCAATACAAAGTCACTCAGATGTATGAATGGCACCGGTCTCTGACTTAGGAAAACATGTACAAACCTATGGAGAAAAATTATATATTCAAAATTCAATGATATTATATGAGATTCCAAATATCAAATAATATTTGATTGGTTGGTTGGTTGGTCGTTCGGTCAATATAAAAGCAAATCACATGAAATGACTTTACAGGTGCAGTTTTCCTGCATAGGTTTTGTGCAAGTTTTTCTTAAAATTATGTGTTATTTAGGTATTTTTCAAACAATCTGCTTGACTTCATATGGAGCAAACCTCCAAACAATCATTAACCACTTCCTGCCGGGGACTACGGAATCAGAGACGTATGGTTTATATGGCTGGCTGGGGTCTCCAAACTCAGACAAAGGAAACAGGGCCCAGTAACAAAAGACCGTACTCCAAACAAAAGACCAGGCTGCTGGGCATTACCGACATTTTTCACTCTCAAAAGTGGTGATAATCCAGCCTTGTTTTGAAACCGTAAACCAGGGTTTGGGCATTGAGAGCAAGCAGATTACCACCGGGGACAAAAGCGCTCCACCAGCACAGTGATGAGCCACACAGCACCGCTGCACGCTAATCTGGCCCCTATTGAAAAGAGGTCAGCAGTGCACTAAGCTCGGTTCGTGAACAAAAGACAGTTATACAACACTGCACAATCTGGGCTCTGTTTACAAGGCTGCTGGCCTGACTGAAATACTGAGGCGTCAATGAAGGTCACCTGTCAACTAAGAGTAGTGCCTAAAGATTACTTGGTGTGGCTATAAACGACCGTTAAATGAAATGATGAATTTTTGAAGGATTTTGAAAACGTAAAAAAATGATAGTCATGCCGGCCCAGCATCATCAACATTGAAAATTGCCCCGGCATGAAGTGGTTAAACTTATTTATAATACTTTTATTTTACCACATTTTTACTATTGTTCTCAAATAAGATCTGGCTTTTTCCAAAAGCACACTGACAAACTTGTCAAGTTACAGAGGTACACTGCTAGAACAATTTCAATAAAGGAATTCACACATCAGGAAGTGCAATAATGGATGAATTATGATGGCTTGCCTTTAATACAGAAATAGTTTCTTTATCTAAAGGCAGTCTTCTACCGAAGCGGAATTATCGCTAAACTTTTCAATATTCACAGCCACGGAATGAGACAGTCAACATCTGATTTATTGAAGATTCCAAAATTTAAATCAGATTGTTTTAAGTACCGCCCATTTGTACAAGGTTTGTCAATGGGGAACACTTTCAATCTCATCAGATTTTCTCCCTCTCTAGGTATTTTAAAGAAATTTACGATTGATTACTGTTTACTTGATTTCAATTCAACCTTAGTAAGGTTTGTACTGTTTAATATTTTCAAATAGTTTTTATACATTATATATTAATATGTATTTTGACAGTGTCTTCTTGTGTATTTATCTGTATTTTTCCTTTTTACTGTTTTGTGATTTTAAGTGTTTGTCGATGTGAATGTCTTTTTAATTTATAATCTTTGTATTTTTGTACATATATGTCTTTGTCCCAGAGCCCTGTGGAAGACCACTTATTGTAAACAGCCTACACAAGTTAAACAACAAAAATAAATAAATGACAAAAATAAATATGACATCTTTTGGATACCTCTTCTAACCAAGAATGCCTTTTAACAGTAATTTGAGAAGTTGAGTTTCAGACAACTGCAATGCTCCCCTCTACAATGTAATGCACACCAATGCTTGTTAAACATATATACAGAATTCTTTTTATCAAATGGATGGATATAACGATGGCTTTTTCCATTGCACCTTATAGCCAATCCAGTTGCTTGTCACAGACAAAACATCTTTCAATATCAAATTAGTTACGCTGAAGCTGGGTTTTATTAGATACGTCCAGTTGGGTTTTATTCCAGTCCAGTTTTGGAAAGGTAAAGCATGCTCTATGAACAGTGAAGTTCCAAAATGTAATAAATTTTTAGACACGGTATGAATTTTCACATTTAGAATATGGTTTGAACTTGATACAACCAAACTCAAGTATTCTCAAACTGTAACATTTGTCAGTTACTTACCTCCTGAAAGTGTCTCATGGCTTGATAAAAACTTTCGCTAGTGGGTTTACTCTCAGCTGATGCTGCCAAGGAATTTTTGTGCAACGTTTCATCTGTCACAAAGATTGCCACTGAATCTCTTCTGTCTCCACAGGCAAAACGGATAGCCTGAATAAAATTGAAATAACAGTTGCCTTAAAGATACAATGAAGAGTCATCTTGGTGCTTGATAGAAAAGATCCAACTAACATCCACTTTTATGAGAAGGACCATACCAGCTTGTTTTTTAACTGCAAAACAAATCCTTTGAAATTGTTGACCAGTGATGGGAAAAATTATCAAGAAAGATTATTGATTGCAGCAAACCAGATGGTAGGTCAAGAAACAAAATGTATTTGAATGCATAAGTATAATAGATCACACATTTTCCATACATCAGGCATGAATTAAGATATCAATATTTACATGCTTTCTCCAAGTCAACCTAATGGATGGAGGCGGGAAGGATTCTTCCTGTCTGTCTCATACCGTAACAGCGCTATCAAACTTTTTTATTGAAATGGGGTATGCCCATAACCAAAACAAGCTAACACATTTTCTGTGAGGTTCCAGAGACTGTGTAGTGGGAATCAACTCGATGTTGCATGAAATGCTGCACATACACTCTGATGCACCGAGTACCCACAGACGAGGCTGCATTCAACAGCAAAATACTATGGAAAATCCCCCTCCCCTAATGTGAGGGAGGGGTCTACTAGTGAATACCTACCTGTAGAGTCATTCATATGAATAAAACTGCTAATAATTTATATAATAACATCTTTGCTTCCTCTTTTCGCCGAATGTTGTAACCAGGGGCATCATGACCGGGGGGGTGGACACTCCCCCAATAATTAATTCCAGTCGGCAAATAGAACTTTGGTGGGCAATGAATCCAAAATTAGCACATGAATGATATACATTGGCTGTCAGCATTTCTCTTGCAGCATGAAATGTAGTGTACCATGGATAACTTTGTGAATTTTACATGACACAAGGTTGGCGAACAGGTTACAAGTTGGCAAGTTGACTGTGGCACACCACCCATGAATAATGCCTTTGCTACACCAAATGGGATTTGTTGAGCACATTGAATATTGCCTTGACTACGCTGGATTGAAGAGTCTACTCGGTTGAATGACAGGTCCTTGGGACAGGGTTTCCACCAGAGTGTTGTCTTTCCAGCGATACGTTCAGCTCGGAGGTAGTTCAAGTGTTGGATCGTCCAGTGGAGTAGGCGTCAGGTTAGGAGGCACACATTGGATGAGCATGGGCCACCCAGCTGATTGATGTATGCAACAGCCGCCATTTTGGGACCAGCACTCTTTTGCCCTGTATAGATGGTTGAAAGTGGAGGAGTGCCTTGAAGATTGCCTGGAGTTCCAGCAAGTTGATGAGAGAACCCTGTAGATTAGGGCCCGACGTTAACTACGGTTGGTGCATGGTCTCAGGGACTAGTGTGGATGGGTCATCTTGACAAGAGAAGCACCCTGGTTGTCCATGTGGTCGGGGAGGATGAAAGCAGATCTGGGGTTGAGTGTGTAGATGCCGCAGCAGATGGAAAGTGTTTTAGAAATGGAATGGAGGGCTTCCATAATGGAGGAAAATTAATCCACATGGTTCTTCTTAAGGAAGGAGTGGTCTGAGTGAGAGGATCGGTACTTCAGCTTGCATTTCTGCCTGTACGAAATATCAGACCTGGACGGATGTGGACTTGCCAGAACTGTCCAATTTGCTGGAGAGGTGTCTGCAGTGAGGCCTTGCTGTCAAGAATGATCACTGGAAGCCCCGGCAGAGTCATTGTCCCTCAGGGCATGGGTACCAGGCTGAGTGTGCTTTGTGATTGGAGTAGGGGACTGAAATTTGACGGCGAAGTAGTCAAAAGGGCTCGGTAAGATAGGCCAGAGGATGGGTTGCAGTAGGTGTGGGCCTGTTGGGTGCTGGAGATGCTATGGTGGGGGGCCTGTCAGACGGCACTGTGTCTGGCGTGGATATTTTGGCAGGGAGAAGAGGGTCCCTTTCTGCAGCTTTCTAGGCTGTGTCAACAGAGTGGTCAGCCATGGTAAGCACGCCAGAATTGCCTTGGGTGGCCTACCCAGAGATTGTGAAGCCACCCTGACTTGTGGGCAGTCACAACGGGGAGCTTAAGGGATGCTGTCTGGTCAACTGTGCTTGGTGGCAACTGCTTGGTTTTGTTTCTCGGAGCAGAATACTGGCTCGATGCACTCCACTGGACTGTGATGAAAGCATGAATGGGTCTGTAAGTGAGAATAAGCCTACCTGATGATAAGTCCCCACTCCCTGCAAGTGTGGTAGGAGGGATCTCAGGACAACAGCGCTTACAAAGTGAGCACCACAGCCCAGACTGGAGCGTGTGTATAATCTACTAGGCTCTCATATCTACTATTATTTAATGATTGCTAGCGATCCCTTGCTTGCACGATGATGTGGACCGGCCTCGATGTTGAGACCATACTGCTGATGACATGAACACAACTCGAAGGAGGTACATGTAGATATCCAAAGTCTCGTAATACATCTCACTGTGAACACTGTAATCACAAGAATTGAGACAATAGAAAAGAACAAAACATAAAAAAGGACAAAAATGTGCAATATGACCTGAAAACGAATATTCTCACAGAGAAACAGGAACTACAAAAAACGTATGGTTTATTACTAAATGGAAGTTGATTGAGCGTTGCTACAGAGCATGTATAGGGAACAAAATAACACTTGACAATGGGAGAAAAGAACCAACATGTCCATTTGTAATGGCGCTAAGAAAAAGAAGACTATGGCGGTTGCCTTGGTAGTCAACTGCCATAGGCGGTGCACTACTGCTGATCAAGATTTTAGTCAATGGCTTAATGGCCCTATGAAAATATGCATTTTTATGGTAATCTGGCTAGGTTGAATACCACAGACTACATAGTTCAAAGACACATTGTGACTAGGGTGTGGAATCAAAAATACATTGACCGTTCGCACGCATGCCAATGCCGTGAATGCATTCTTAAATTTGAGCTACCTCTGGCTGCACGCGTGAGAATGGCCCTCCCGTTCCCTTGCATTCCTCTACAACAAAAGGTCTGTCACGGTCTGTGCACACAGCAAGTTGTCTGTGGCACGCATGGTGGCAAAAAACATATGTCAAGAAGTCTCCAAAACAGGAAAATCATCCACGGTATGGAAAAAAATTCTAGGCAAACAGTGAACGGCAGGGAAAATTAAACGTTGGCCAATTTTCTGGATAAGGCATTTCTTTTTAATTCTCTGAAATTGAGCACTGTTCATTTACCACTACATTCCACAAAAAATGCCTTGCTTCTTATCAACTAAAAGATATACACGGTATACAGTTTTGGGACGGGGTGTTTGCTATTGAGTAGAATTATCAGTTGAGCCTTTGAGGTTTCTGCACCACCCGAACCATTATTTTCATTCAAGGTATGCAGCCTCCCTACTGAACTTAAAGAAAAAACTTAGCGCTTACGGTGTCAGCATTCTTCAGATTAGAATTAGGGACAGGAGTTTGAGCTCTGCCAATCGTATTATTTTCATTCCAGGTTGTATCCCACCCTATTAGACCGCATTTTCATCTTAAAGAATTTACTCCACCCATTTCAGCATATTTCAATGTAACCTGGGCAAAAACATTTCCAGCCTGGACAAGTGCTGCAAGTAGGTGCCAAGGTTCGGTTCAGAGATTTAATGCCGAACTCCGATTCGGTTTGGGTTTGGACATATGTGCACACAATACGTACATGTACAATGCACATTGAGACATCTAAAGAGCTCGCTACGAATGTGCCATATATAGTACTTCCGTGTATAAAATACGTAAATCCGATGGACATGTGTGGTCTTTAGCTGATAGATACAAGGCCTTGCTGCCTATTTAGGCAGAACCGCAAAGCAAGGTTGGCCACTTTTGTCTGAGCAGTTTAGTCCGACGGTTTAGACAAGTGTTCTTCTCAACTAATTTTCAAAGCAGTTCTCAGTGTTGCATTTTTTTGGCTATTTTTTGGTCTTAAATTCTACCCTGCGTGGATTATCATGCCAAAGTCCAAGAAATGAGCCGGCTGTGGCCAGACAATGGTAGCAGGCAAACCGCATGGACAACCTTATTCCGACCATTGAAGTAGCCGTGACACCGCTACCAATGCGTCCACCAAAACAGAACCTTCGACTTCGTCCGAGCTGGAATCGTCTGCGATGCCGGCTGTACCGATTGTTGGGGAAATTCAAACTTCTTTGGGGCTTGGTAAGTCCAGTGGTCCCTTCCATGTAAATATATCCTCTTCACCAATCCCAATTAATCCCATTTCGGGCAATCCACTCAGTTTAACCCAAGCTTCAATGCCCATGACTTCGGTTTCTTTGACTTTTAATCCCGCTCCTTCCATCACCTCACGACTACACTACTTTGACTAGCATTTGTGAGGATCTCGGGATGGGGATATCCAGGCAAATTCAGGAAAAAGTTTGGAACGGGGAGTTTGTTGAGTTTGGGTCCCTTTTACGACCAGTCCGTACCGCGTATACAAGTGACTGCATGTTCATGATCAGCTCGCCCGAGTCTTAGGTGTGGCAAATTTGACCTCATACTCCGGCGGTTTGCATTACGTCCATAGAGCAGTGGACATCAATATTCCATATATTTGTAGTTTTTGCCTCATTTTATCTGATGAGGCATCCAGATCGTGCGCGACAGTTGCGTAAGTATGCCAACACCATTCGCTCTGCAGCATTTCGTCGGCCAGGTTTTGGTTGGCGCAATTATGATATCCAGTTTTACCTGCGGCAAGCACTCATGCCAGCGCGTTCTTGGGCAAGCATCGATGCCAAGCTGTGGATCACGCTGGTAGGTGCCCCTGTTGCCGCACCATACAATTTTTGAGCCTTTGCTAAAAGGCCAACCCAACGGTGTACCCTTGTCACAGGTCGTGACCGAACCAACACCTGCATCTGTTTTGACTTCAACCGCGGGCATTGCTTTCAACTCGCTACCAACATCGGTAAAAGTAACTAGTAAGCTCCCCTTTCTCAGCACATACAGTTAAGAATGGAAGTGCCACATTTATGTTTGACGGTCGCAGCGACTGGAAACCATGCATCTTGTGCCA